TCATCCTCTAAGGCCCCCCTTCTAGGGGGCCCTTTTCCTGGCCTCCTGTCTGTCTGTTAGCATACACTCCTCTGTGCACATTCAGCCTCTCCTTGTTTGTTTATTCTCATGGGCCATGTGTTACTCTCTCTGTGTTCACTGTCTTCTCCTCCTTCTAGAATGTGAGCTCCATGCGGACAGGGGATGTGTCTTTCTTGTGCACTATCCCAGAGGCCTAGAATTACTCCAGGGCAGGGAGGAAGGGATCTGCAGATAGTTTTTGAAGAAATGAAGGAATGGATGGATGGATATTAACCCATTCTTTCATTCTTTCTGCCTTCCTCCTTCCCTTGAGCCCCATCCTCTCCTCCCAACCTCCACCCCTCCCCTGTCCCTCACAGTTACAAGGGGCTCCCCTTTATTTCTGACATGCTCTTGGGGACTGTGTAATATGATGCTCCCCAGGCATTATCAACCTTGCTTTTAATGCACTGCCAACTTATCCCAAAATTGAGAAACAGGAAGGAAAGCAAATGAGATTGTAAACCCAGATACATTACGACAGAAAGATGAAGTCCCTTGTAGCCTACTGGAGACAATGCTGTTTGCGTGAGGGAGACAATTCTCTTGTAATAAAATCCAGCAGAGTGAGTCTCCCTGAGGACACAGTTCTGCCCACTTGACTTATGCAAGATTGGATGAGGCTGCTGAGGCTGTTCCAGGTTCAAAGCCGCTGATGAATCCCTGTTCAGTGATGGCAGGGTGTAGGGAGTGCCCCATGGAGGCACGGGGACAGTTGCTCACTCTCTATGAAGACTGTGTGTGTGTGTGTGTGTGTGTGTGTGTGTGTGTGTTGTGCATGAGTGTTTGTGTTTAGTGAGAGAAAATTTTGATGTCAGTGTGCATGCACCAGGTGATCTGGAAATCTTTAGGTGGCTGCATGTCTCGGTGTGTCTCTAAGGTCTGGCCTTGTCCACCCACAGTGGAATTACTCACTCTTAAAATGGACTGAGTGGTTCATCTTCATTTCTTCACCCCTGCTGTTCTGGTATTAATAAGACCCATCCTTCACTTTTGTGCTGTTCTTTGGAGAGCACAGACCTCTTCCATGCACCATTTCTCATTTCATTCTGAGAACCAAAAGCAAATGATCCTCCTTTGCAGATGAGAGATTCCCCCCAAACCTCTGAATGTCCTCCCCAAGGAAAGCAGATCCCATCCTTCTTTCACGGCTGACTGTGAGGCTGATCCACTCCCTTCCCAACTCCTTCAGGCATCCATCTCCATTCTGTGTCTTCATTCTCCCTGCGCTACAGTTCCTTCCTCCGTCCTCTCCTCCTCAAGCCCACCACCCCGCCTGGTCCCCCTTCCACTGACAAACCTCTTCCCATTTATTTCCTTTCCTTCTGAACCAAAGTCCTCACTTCCCATTGGTTCCTCTGACATTCCACCCTTACACACTCTTAATGCTGCTCTTCCCGAAATTGTCAATTATCTTTTCATCATCAAGCCCAAAGCCTCTTTAGAGTATTCAGCTTGCTGGAAAGGACGTCTGCCTTGTGTGACATGGCCATGAACTCCTTCCTTTTTGAAATTCTCATCTCTTCATTTTTTGTGTTTTCTCCTTTTTGCCAACTAACCTTTCTGTGACCTTTGCTGGCCTTTACAAACCCATTGAATGGTTGCATTCCTTCCTTTTCCGTCTTCACGTAACCTGGGTGGTGTCAGCTTTTCTGTCAAGTCCAGCTTCTCTTGTACATAGATGACTGTGACATTTTTCTCCCTGATTCACCCTCCCTCTAACTGCACTCTTTGTACACCCTCTAGAAATCTCTGTTGGATGTACAATGACACCTCAAAGTCAACAAGTCTATACAACCTTGAATCTATGCCCAAAACTGCCTTTTTTTTTTTCCTTTTTGGCCACTATCTTGGTAATGGCAACACCAGAAGGCAGGGAGTCCTAACACAGCCTCTCCTTTATGCTTAAGATCTGGTCTTTTCCTCACCCTGTCTCATCTCCATCTATAAACTTCTCTTGAATTGCTCACAGTCTTTTTATCCCCCCTACTCTGTCTTATCTTTCCTTGAGGTTATGGCCACAGTCTGGTGTGTTCAGAGGCTTCATGCAATGGCTTGACAGATACAAACACACAGAGAGAGTTGAGGATAAATGTGGTTATACATACATGTGCCCAGGCTCATGACGCTGCGGCTTCTAAATGGCCCCAGTCCCACAGAAGCATAGGGGTTAAGAACACACAGAAAACCTCATTAGCACAGATCCAAGAAAGGTGGGCACAGCAGCAGATATATAGGTGTATATTTGTCAACAAATGCACAGTTAGATACATAAACCACAAAGACAGAAATGGAGCCACAGACATAGAAACACACAGCCATGGACAAATGTTTATTGAGGTCCCTGCCATTGGAAGGCAAAAAGTGAAGAGTTGGGAGAAAAAGGGTGCCCTGGCCCAGCACCCCCATGGTGGGCTCAGAGAGTCCCATGTACATGCAGGCTCCTCTATAATTGATCACTCTACCTCCCCCTCTCCCCTTCCAGAGGCTACTTCCATTCTGAGACTCTGAGCCTCCTTTTTCTATTCTTAGGCTTGTTAGAGCCGAGGGTTGACACAGTTGTGCTTGCTGCCAAGCTTCCGGGATGCTGTGAGCGTCAGAGTGCTTTTCATTATGCCAGATACATTTACACAGATGTTGTCGTAATGCACTAAAACCTATATTTGCTCTGTTATAGAGATGAATCATCAATTCCTTACATTTACACAGGATTTTAAATCTTTTCAAAGTGTTTCTCTGGACATTCTCTCATCTGAGCCTTAGGATGCTATTTATTGTAAATGAGTTTTATATATTGCACGTATTTTACATAATTCCTCTTCTTTTCCCACCCCCTAATAAACCAACAGAATCTTCATAGCTGTTAGATGTCAGTGTTTTATGAATGTAATCCACTCTGTTTTTAATTGTCTGTTCCACACTCTCTATGCCCTTTTTGGCTTGGATGGGTTGGGTTATATACATATTTTTGGGTTAGTTGAGTCATTGTTATTAATGCTTTAACCCTTCCTACTCTTTCTTCCCACCATCATTTACACTCTAGTTTTCTGTCTTTGCTTGAATATTTGAACTCATTCATTGAGATTTTGAATATTATTTTTCAATGTTCAATATAGTTTATATAAAATAGTAAAATAGATGGTGTCCAATATGGCATTCTATATTTTCCTACATGTTTTATTTTATATATCTTCTCTGCTAGCTAGGTGAGTTGGAGCAATTAGCATAACCACTCTGTATTTGATATTCTTCATTGGTTTAGGAGGGCTAAGATTTCCTTGGGAAGTTTATGGCAAATATTAGAGCAGTCACATGTAAAGTGCCTGGCCCATTACCTGACACACACTTAATACATTGTGACTACTATAGGAGTGTATGGTGGTGACTATGGCAGTAGTCAAATTATGATAATGTGGTTAGAACATGGTCTTCACAACTGTCTTATAGGAAAATGCTTAGGAGTATCTCCCTCTCATGGACCCAAGTTTAACCTTGTCATGTGGTTGAACATTCAGGCTGTTTGCCATTTTTGCCCTTTATAAGTAATGTCTCACTAAACATCCTCTTGCATACAGTTTTATTCTTCTTTTCAATTTAACATTTGTATGTATTCCTAGGAGTGAAATTCCAGAGTGAAGGGATATGTGCATTTGTAAGGTTCTCAATAGATAAATAGTGCCAGATTGCTTCCCACCAGAGCACCATCAGTTTACACTTCCAGAAATTCAAGAGAAAGATTATTTATAGAAATTCCCATAGCCTTAGCTGATCTTGTTTTCTATTTGACTTTTCTTATACAGATTTTTCTTTAAAACTATAATATATGTGTGAATATATGTACATGTATGTATATGTGCATACATATATGTTTGTATATATGTTATATATGTGTATACATACACATACTTTTATGGGGCATGTGTCAGTGATGATATTTAAGTATAAGTTGCCACATGATTTTGATAGAAACTGGTTGCTCAAAGTTTGAGATGCTTACTTGTGATGATACATAAGATAATTTTAGCTAGCATGTGGCACTAAATGAGATTGGTTTATATATTGACAGTGATATTCTATTTTCAGTTCCTTTTCAGTCTTCTGATCAGATCAAGGAGAAAGTCTAAGTTTGGTGCCAACAACTCTTTAATACCCTCTAGCACTTCCTCATCTCCCTTTTAAAAAGAGGGGCTTTTTTTCCCTGGAGTTTCTAACTCAAATTTAATAACATCATTTGGTCTCCAGTATGTTTATTTTTATGTTTTCCTATATTTTATAGAAATCAATACTGGTACTTTATTTAAAATCTTGATTAAAAAGGGGTTTTTGCACACATTTGGTTAATTAAAAAGGTGAGTTACGGATGGGGCAGACATCCTGACAATGGTGTTCCAGTGATTAAAGTTTGGGACATACTGCATGGGGAGTGCATCACCACAGTCCTCCCATGAGTAATAACAACAAGTGGTCCTTGAAAACACATTGACTCCAAGTGTCCATAATGCTTGACAGTTGGGAACTTTGTGATTGCTCCTTCTTCCCTGTTCATTTGGGAGTGTAAGGACCTTGCAGGTGGCCCTGAGGAGAGTCACTTTAATATCCAGTGAGTCCTGTGGGTTCATGACCAGCTGAGTAATCTCCTCACTCGGCAGGTAAAGAGCAGAGTGGGAATGCTCAGTACTAAGAGATGTATAAATCAAGACTGGCACTGTGAATAGAATGATTCAGAAAATGGGATTAAATAGCTTAATGATAGTCATTGTGAATCACAATGTCAGGTTTAGTAGAATTCTAAGGATGTACTTGCTAACACTAATGAGGTTTGATGGAATAAAATTAACAGTGTCCAAACAGCTGCATGCCTTCACAACAAAGGAGCCATATCTCAGCAGGCTGATACATCCTCTCCCTGGGGTCAATTGATTTTACTTTTTATCTTTTAGGATATATTTAAATTTGCAAGAACGTCTCCTGTCCCAAGACAAAAGAGGTCCATTGTGGTATCTCCCATTTTAATTCCAGAGAATCAGAGACAACCTTTCCCAAGAGACGTTGGCAAGGTAAGTCAGACAAAAAACAAATGACAAAAGCACGTTTTTATTAAGAGATGAGCATACATGAGACAAACTGATGTCTTGGTGACGAGCTGAAATTGGCCTTAATTCCTCTATTGTAAAAAGGCAAACTGTTTTTGCCAAAAAAAAATTGTCAAAAGGTTAGTGTTTGCAAAAAAAAAAAACCAGTAGTAACAGCTTTGAATGTCATGATCTGATCTGTGTGGTACATAATGATGTTGAAGTTGTGTCAGAAGCATGTCATTGGCTAAGCAACAAACTAGTTGCTTTTATAGATAATCTCAAGGCAGCCATTCAGGTAAGTTCCATTACTGCATCAGAATGATGATATGTGGCCTTTTAATTTAGATCCTAGTTTTCAAATGTGTTGTTCCAGGAGCAGCCTTGGGTCAGCTTTCTAAAAACTAAGATCAAAGGAACCAGATCAAAGAAACTAAATCATACTAATCAGATCCAGAACACACTGTTGCAAAAATCAAAACCACAACTTTCCCAAGAGGAAACAGTCCCTGTAAAATCGACAGAAATACTGGTGCTGCCTGGTCAACACATTCTTCCCCCACATAAGCATCATCATGGAGAATCAAATTTTAACCATTTTGTGTTTTTTTTGGTGAACTTGAAATTTGAACAGTAGTGCTTAGTTGAATGAATCATCTCAGTGACTCAGTGACTATGGCTATTGGACTATTTATTCATTCATTAAATAAGTAAGGAGCACCTTTATATGCTGGACACCAAGATTGGGGATTGGTAAGCATAGGTTTGAGCAAGCATTACAGGCCCCTTGTGATGGAGCTTGTATTCCAGTGAGGAGACAGACAGTTTAATGAGTCAATATATAAGCATGAAGATTGCAGAGGAGAACAGGTGCTGTGAAAGCAGAAGCGGGGTGATATGAAAAAGCAAATGGCAAGATCAGGGAGTAGAGGGAGGTAGGAACCTTTACACAGACTCTGCACTGGTAAAGTCTAGTTGGAGTTACTGACATGTGAGTGCAAATTGGAAGAATAGAAAGGAACAGCCAAGGGAAGATCTTGGTAAACTGCATTCTTGGCAGAGAGCTCTGCATGTGAAAAAGCCTAGAGATGGGATAGAATGGGGTATATTTTAGGAGCAAATGCCTGGTTGACTGCAATGCAATGAGCAAAGAAGAGAGTGGTAAGAATTGAAGTCCTGAAGGCCAAGGTGAGAGGTAGAGATTTCATCATGCATGCAGCAAGAAACACTGAAGGTCTTCGTGTGTGTGTGTGTGTGTGTGTGTGTGTGTGTGTGTTTATGTGTGTATTTTAAAAGAACCTTCTGGCTCCCCTGTAGGAAATGATTTGTTAGGGGCCGAATTGTGTGGTAGGAAAGAGTGCATACATAGAGATGAGCTAAGAAGAGGGTTTTATGGTGATCTGGAGGGGATGTGAGGGTGATTTAGACTACTAGAAATCTACTTTTATTAGAAACTAGAGGCCTGGTGCATGAATTCGTGCAAGGGTGGGGTCCCTTGGCCTGGCCAGTGATCAGAGCCAATTGGGGCCTGATCACCCGGTGTCTCACCCAGTCTCGATTCGGCCAGCTGGCTGGGGGGAGGGACTGCAGGAGGTTGGCTGTGGGAGCACACTGACCACCAAGGGGCAGCTCCTGTGTTGAGCATCTGCCCCCTGGTGGTCAGTGTGTGTCATAGCTACCGGCCAGTCATCCGGTCATAAAGGTCACTTAGGCTTTTATATATAGAGAGATTTTATATATATATAGATTAGAAGCATTGATTATCCAGTGTCCTCATAATCACCATATTTATAATTAATCTACCACTGTGCTAGGTGTCTTTTCTTTTTTAAGAAAACTTTCCAGGCATACAGGATATGATGTAAAGGAAAGCCAAGCTGCTCTGAGTGGACAGGGTGGGGCTGATGAGCCCTGCCCCTTTGGTCAGCCCTAATTACTATGATGGCTTGTGTAATTTTCCCTGAAGCCAAGAATGGCAATTTCTAAGGGACCAGAGTCCTCAAGTCTGCAAGGCTATGCCCCTAAACAATTTCAAAGACACAAGTTGTGTTCTTGTTCTTTAAGCCTGGTGTGCACCAGAATCGCCTGGTGCAGTTAAAATACAGATGCCAGTCTCTGCCCTCAGAAATTGATTCTGTTGGCTAAGGGCTGAGGACCAAGCATCAGTATGTTTAAAAGATCTCATGTAATGCTGATGTACAGCCAAGGCTGAGAACCACTGATCTAAACTGGTCCTATTTCAGGTATGAAACAGCAGCATCCGCATCACTTGGTCACTTACTAGAAATGCATATGCTTGGGTCCCACCTCAGAACCACTGAGCCAGAAACTATTGGAATGAGGCCAGAAATCTTTTTGTGCATGCCTTTCAGGTGATTCTGCTGCACTCTCAAATTTATGGAGGTCTGATCTAAAATATGTTCTCCTCTCCTGTCTATCATATATATATAAAATACTTTCAGTATAGGAGTTTCAGTCTTATTAATTAAGTTAAAGGGTGATCATACATCTCAGTTGCTTGGAAAATTGGTTGTTCTGGCATAATTGTTTTTTTAAAACAGAATATGGTTATATTTAATGCACAAGTTTGATACAACCAAAAAGTAAAACACCAGAGTAAAATAGTAACAAAAAACATGGTATTTCATTTGCAATGCATGATAAATGATTAACATCTTTAGTCATAAACAAGCTCTTAAAATCCAGTGACACTATAATAATGGCATAATTATTATTAGCATACCTTTTCTCTTAAACATGTCTAGCTATGGTCATTAAGTTGTGATCATTCTAAAGTTTCCCACACATTCATCCCCCTGACTGTATTTGGATAATTTTTATAAGCCTCTTTCCTTGAGATACATAATGGGTCAATAAGTACAGCTAACTAGAGACATTCTTCTGCATTGTTCCTGCAAATTTGTTTCCAAGCTGAGGATTCATCTCTCCTTAGTGCTTTATGTACTGCCCACATGGGCTCTTAACCTGGATTCTCTACAAAGCAACTGTTTTTCTAAATGTGATAGTCTACTAACATTGTAATATGTGAAAGCCTCCCAAAACTCCAGATGGTTTTTACAGAATAACTGCACTGCCTTCCAAAAGCTGCTCTTTTTCCCATGCTCTTTATGCCTTTGAAGGAACATATTTTTTCTTTTTGTGCTTTCTTGCTTTTATTCATTCATCTTATTCTTTTCTTTATATCTTTCATCATCATCAACTCTACGAGTAGCTGACAAGCATTGCTCTGCAGAACTACGAGAGCTTATAGGTGTCTTCACCTACCAGCTCTACGAGTGCTGGGGGGTGGGGAGAAGGGAAAGGAAACCAAAGAGGCATATTATCCCCGTCCGCCTGAACCGCCTGAGCCAGGGCAGCTCCAAATCAGACTTCAGTATAGAATGCCATTTGAAGAGATTCTGTGGTTATTAAACAATAAAGACACTTGTCTTACTTTGAGTTTCTCGAGACAAGAATTCAAATGCATGCAGTTTATTTAGAATGTAAAGAGAATACTGGTAAGGGAGTGATGAAGAGAGACAGGGAAGGGAAGCAGCCACTTGGGAGACCTGTTTATCAAGAAAGCCAACACTGTGAGCGACTGGATTGCAATCCCAGGGGAAACACTAGGGAATGGTAGGAAGCACACTGTCAGAGTTATCCATTCCACAGGGAAGGGAGCTGGGATATTTATATGCCAACCCCGACAGTGTTTGGTTGAGGGCCAGTCCTAGAACTGTAAGTTTTCACCGTGTTCACTCTGCCCTGTGCTCTGTACACAGGCACAACAGGCTTCTGAGGCCTGGGGTGGTCCTGCAGGCCATAAGCCATATGGCAACTAGACGTCTGGGTTGTGCATTGATAAGGTGAGGTCCAGGGAGCAGGAGAGGGCACTTCCGCTCTATCACTAAACTCAGTATAAATACTTTTTCTTTGCAGGCTAGGTTTTCTCTTGGCCTTATCCTCTGTTCTCACCTCATTTCCTGAACTACCTTTGTTGTGTCTCATGCCTTTGAAGCCAACTGTACTTGCCTCTCTCCATTAATAAGTACTTGCTGTGTCCCAGGAGGGAAAATCTCTAAAATTCAATCAATTCGTGTCAACAAGCATACATTCAGCACCTGCTACTTACAAGGCACTGTGCTAGAGGCTGGGCATTTAATGACAAAGGAAAACTGACAGTGTCCTTGATTTCATAAGATTACAGAGTACGGAAAATAATCCAAATTCATTATTTGTCCAGTACTAAAATCGTAAGCATTTTTCAACTATTATGTTGAATACTCATAATAGCAGCTGCATGGGGATAATCTTCCAATGTGCCAAATAGAGTAATGAGACTCAGAGGGATGAAGTAACCTATCTGAAGGCACAGGGTCCCTACACAGCAGAGACAAGCTCTGTGACAGCCCTTTGAGATTTCAGTCTGTGTTCTCAGCCAACATGCTCAGGGCTGCTGAGTGCAATCTGAGAATTCTCCTATGCAATGAAATATCCTGACTGACAATTGTTCTCTTTAAAACAGCATTAAAATTAAGTTTAATTCTTTCAAACACACCAAAAAATAATGTGGATGGAAGGATGATGGATCAATGGACTCATGTATGATGAAACAAGTATAGTAAATTGTTAATAGTAGAATCTAGGTGATGGGAGAATGTGGAACACTGTAAACTTCTTTCTACTTTCCTATGTGCTTAGGAATTTTATAATACAATGCTGGAAAAATTAAGTTTAGCTAAACATCAAATTATCATAAACAACACAAGAGTTGTCATGCTGGCACAAAAATGCTTTTTTGTTTTGTACTTCAATAGGATGAATGGAAACTAAGTATCTCTCTCTTTTTGTGTGTGTGTCTGTCATATTTTATCGCAACCTGAATTCCTTTAAAGCAAGGAGGCCCTTTGCTAAAGGGTAAAGACATCAAAAGCAAGGTGCTGCAGAGAATTAGCCCTCTGCAGGGGGTTCCCAGTTAAGGGTTG